CCCATGGCCACCCTGCCCAAATACTTTAGCACGTCTCTCTCCAGTAATCTACTTTAAAATTTTAATTATATGAATATGGTCACATTAAAATTAATTTAATATTATTATATTGAATGACTATAATTATATAAAAATTGTTAATTTATTTAATACAATCATGTTAAAATTTTTATTGCTATATCAAAATTTTTATTATTATAAATATATTAAAACATCACATAATTCAATATATTAAATTGCTATGTTCTTTAACAAATTATTATGGCTATATAGATTATGTTATTTCATATTTAGTTTAGATTGTATTTTTAAACAATATATTTCAACAAATATTAACAAATAATTATTGTTAATTTGTTATTATTACAATAACTTATTTTGTACAACAATAAAATTTTGATATAATTTTTAATTGTATTAAGTTGTTATATAGAAATTCTTGAATCATGTTTATTATAATTAATAATTATATATTGATAACCAAATTTTGTATTTTATTTATTAATTATACATCCAGACAGGAAAATTGTATCTCAGTGTTCACCTATGTTTACAAAGTAACGAAAGTACATAATACACCACTCCTAATATTTTTTAGAAACTAAAAGAACATTATTTTTAAAGATTTATAATGACTTTTTGAAATTTTTTGGGACAAAAATTGCCCATTCTGCGTATTTTTCGATTAGATCCACCGATTTTTCGATCCGACATGGGTATGAGTGTGACCGATTCGAGTTGCCGATCTGTATTTTAAAACCTTGGAATCAACTAACCTCAACACTTGCACTAGAGGTTCAATTACGAAAACAGTATGGTTGCATCTAACCCAGAGCCTCTGGTCAACATGGATGCTTTCAACCTTCCTTCCACATTAACTCATTACTTCCCTATCAATCTGCCATTCGTCAGTGCGTATCATTGATTTATCTTTCGCGTGCAATGTTCCCTCATCATAGCACAGAGGTAGGTGTAATTGTATACTAATCTTGTAATAAGCTTGCATTTCAAAATACAATTTTTAACCCTCTTCAGCTCCCTATGTCCTTATGTATCAAATTAATATAGTGAGCAACACATGAAGTCTAATAAATATCGAGTCTTCTCTTTGTTATCAATAACATGCTTTTCTGTAATTCGCAATATTGTCAGTCACTACGTGGACAATATTTTCTGCCCCAACCTCATCTACGATCTTGTCCATGTGCGTGCATAACAGTCTTGAAGTCTACTTTTTATCATGTTAGAATGGTAAACAATGCCCTTAAGGGAACTTATTAAAAATTTGACAAGATGCTTGTGCCTTGTCCTTCCAAATGTCTGTCATGATGGTCATTCCAGTGCTTGGCCAGCAGACCTTGACCTGTGCATTATGATTATATACTCTATGGACAATATCTTCTAAATATGACCCTACAAATTCCTTCGCAGTTCGGGCTCTAGAACTTGGCCCTGCATCAGTTATAACACATACCATTTGTGGGCAGTATTTTGAGTCCAGAGAATTAAGTGGCAGAGCATTGCCATATCAAAATATACTAATCATCTTTTTCGCCTTTTTCATGAATTTCCCTGGTGATGGATGTTTTTTATTTTTATTTATTCTGATGGTATTTTTGCATGTGGGGGTCAAGTCTAGAGTGTTCACAGGGCATTAGTGGCACATCTATGGGTTCAGATCAGTGAGTAGTAGATGACCGACTATAAGAGGATGGATGATTAGAGAAACTATGCCTCAGTTAACTAGATATGAACCTAAGCAGTAAAGGTCCGCATCCTACCATACCCAGCACTACGGGTTGTTGAAGTTGGCAGCTAGAGGATGCACCATCCCTTTTACCATACATCTCTTGAATTTTCATTTCTCTTTAATTTAATTCTTGGAGTCTGACAATCCTAGTCAGTTCCATTTGTCTTCTTGGTCCTCAACCTCATCTATGGGATAATTTTAACATTTGTTCTTTTATTGCCGCAAGTATATTGTTATTACATGTGATGCTACCCCGTAACCTATTAAGGTGCTCTTTCAGGCAAATTATACCGTCACCCGTTTTCTTGGTACAAAAATTATATCTAACTTTTCTCTTGTCATTCACTTTCACGTCATATTTCCTTGCCACATCTTCCCTCATCTTTTAATTTTCTTGTTTTGAAAATAAAATTTCATTAAAACTTATTGAAAATTTTAATATAATATTTTATTTTATTAACCATGATAGAACTTTGACTAATATATAAATTTTTTCATTAATTAATATATTAGCCTAGATAAATGTTTTATAAAATTTTTGAAGCTCATTAGGAATTTCAAAAAATCAATAAAATTTTAAAAATTAATATTTTTTTTTAAAAAAGTAAGAAATTTATTTGAGATATGTTTTATAATTTGGGATTATCTTTTTTAAAACTTTTATATGATTTTTGGCAATTATTGGGAAGTGTTTTGGCTATAAATACCGAGTCTCGCAATGTTTTGGATGTTTTCGAAGATACCCCAATCTTTGATTTTTTTAACTTTTTTTTTTTTATCATTTTTTGGCAAATACTACTTTTTTTAATATTTTTAAATATCTCTTTTTTAAAATACTTTTAAATCATTTTTGCCAAAATATACCTCAAATTCTAGAATGTTACTTTTAAAGCCTCGAATCAATTGAAGCACCCAACGACTTCACTTCCCAACCAAATTAATTGGACAAGCAGCCAAATTTGAATTTTCTTGCAACTAAATTGGACTTGCAAACCGAATTTTCTTTGAATTTGGATCAACTGATGCATCCATGTCAGTGTAGTTATTCAGTGGAATTGCATTACTTGCTCTAAGTCACAAAATATTATCTAAAGTTTATGCATAATAATCATGAGCCTCATGTAAGAACTAAGAAAGTGATACCTAGAGATGAATATTCAACATGCCATGGTCATGAGAGAACTAAAATACATACAGAAAAATAAATTTATCAATGCATAGATGCAGGCACATTAGAAAAGGTTGCCTCTAATACCAATGCAAGACAATTATGTGAGATCTTACAAACTGTGATCAAAAGATGACAAAGTAAAAAAGGTTCAACTACAAATATTGAGCACATAGTTGTGGGATAAAAGAAAGTAAAGACTTACCTGCAGCAGTAAAAGTTCAAAATATAAATATGGCCAAAAGAATAATAAAAATAAATGATTTAACCACTCAGTAAAATAAGTTACATGTACATTTCAAAATGCATTGTCAGAGAATGTAAATAAATTGTTACAAATTTCTATGAACACCTGAAATATGTCTCCATGTAAGTTAGTACTCTAAAAGCTAATCTACACTTCAGTTATCTAGATAAATTAGGCTTCCCCTTAAGGTACCAAATCTTCATGCACATGTATAGGTGGATCACCTTTTCTGACTGAAAAAGAAGAATCATTTCCTTAATTTTCTAGGAAAACATCTGTTGTTTTCCATCCCAACAATCCAATTATACACAAAAGATTCATCCAACACTCATTTTGACATGAAATGATCCCATTCTCCTAACTCCCAGTTCAAATTCATTGAGATAGTGTATAAAAGGTGAACTTAAAGTAGCTGTACAACTAACTAATGCAAATAAATTGCATTGTCATTTATGAGTAGAGAGTTAAGCTGTGAAACAAGATTCTTATTAGTCATATGGTTAACATATACAGGTAACTCTGTACATGAGTAAAATACCCCTTAGGGTAAGAAACAATAATCACAAGACTAAATAGTTATTAATATGTTCGCAGTACATGCAACCAAGATCATTGAATCTTGTCATTGAGCTGAAGGCTTCTGCACTCAATTTTGAAAGTCATTGGGAAAAAGTAGAAAGAAATGACTTGAGGCATAAAAGGCCCTTGTGACGGACACACATAAATATGTAGTTCAATTTACAAGCAAGTAGATTGACAAAAAAGAAAATAAAAAATACTGAATGCAATCTCCTGGATAACTTTGACATCTACAAAATCCCTCAAATTTGATTGAAAAAGGATAAAAAACATGCCCAAGATCTCGCGTTCGGCAGATTTTTCAACTTAGTCAAGAAAAACTGCGATGATAACTTAATATGTCAAAAATTTCGGCTTTTTGAAGAATTTAGGACTTCAATAAACTAAGTAACTCTAACATCTACAAAATCCCCAAAATTTGACAGAGAAACAATTAAAAAACGAGGCCAAAAATCTCAACCTCGGCAGATTTTTTAAAAACCATCGAGAACACCCAAAAAACAGCTTCAAAAGTTTTGAATTCTGACGTGTTTTCTGTTGCAAATCCCTCATTTTATACTAGAAAATCAATTATTTCACTCAATATTTGACTAAAAACGCCTGAAAAAGGTGAAAAAATTTAATTAAACAAAAAAAATCATGAGCTCTATTGCAAATAACAACATTGTTTCTAACGGGTGTGATAACATGTTATAACGTGTTTTTAAAATAACCGGTCCAGTCCAATTAAAAACCAACCGATAAGTTAAAAAACCGATGGAGGGGGAGGGGAGATTTTCCTTAAGCCAGTACCCCAAAATTGGTGCTAACCAGAACTGGGAGGTCCCAATTCCGTTCCAACGGGCTGGTTCCCGATAGACCGGCCATTTTTCCCTACACTGCTTGCACCCAATTTATTTTTGAGAGGCAACTGGGCCAGTGTTTTTGTTTTTTTTTGAAGAGTCTTCTCTAACCAATGGCCGATAAAGCCCCAGGGAGTTGATATACAAACTCTTGTGGAAGCGTGTCAAAAATTCAATCTTAGTGATAGATTTAGGATATGAAACGCATCCTATGTTACTTCAGACAGATTTCTACATCAGATCATTGATTCTGCAACTTCAAAAAATATAGCAAATTTGGTGATCCATGAAGAATTAAGATGAACATTCCAGAGACACAGTTCATCATTTTGTTTTTCTTTTTTAAAGATGTGTGGTTGCAGTGGTTGAGATTATTGACTAGTGAAACTTTAGGTCTAAAATTTACCTAAGATGGATTTTAAGGGGCCCTTAAGAGGGTGGGTCGGCTGGAACACAAAAACTCATCCAAATTACAATACTATCATTAACATAACTAGAAAAATAGAATAATACACCTCTCTAACATCCATCTTAGGCAACACAAGCAATTCAGACTGACTTCTCTCTCTCTTCAAGTCTTTTAAGCCACTGCAAACCAAGATCACAGCCTGCTTTTGCAGCAATTTGGAATTGCCGTTTTGCTTGTTCGACTGATGACTCACCGCAGGTTTCTTCACTCTTTTCCATCACTCTCTTTGGAAGGCCTCGCCTACGTCCCAATTTGTTGATCTTTTCTGGGACTTCAACACCTGAAACATTCACCATGGGCATCACTAAACAATAAGAAATCAGGAAGAGTAAAAGATTCTCTGATGAAAAGGAACCGATGTTTTCAAGACCACATTCTAAAAGTTCAGTTGGCTTGATTTCTTTCTCAATCATGACTCCACTCAATAGGTTCCTCTCTCTCTCTCTCTCTCTCTCTCACACACACACACACACAAATTCTGGCACTGAAAACCAGATATTTTTGTTCTTTTAATAATTTCAGTTGAGATAGATTTTGATTTGATATCCTTCTATAACATGCTTTAACCAATATGCAACTGGCTTCTTCATGGTAATTACATATACTGAGGAACATGAAATGTAGACAAAATTTATTCAAATGATGGTTCAATTTGAGTTGCTTGTTGTGGCATTACCAATTGTTTTGATATTTAATATGTAGTGTCCAACAAGGCAATGTCCTCTTTATCCTTCTAAGGTCTATCAATGAAATACGTTCTAAGCTATGTCCCATTTGCGATAAATGTATTATCATATATATATTTTAAAAGAATGGAAAAAAAACAGCAAAAAGTTGTACTTTAAATTTTACCCTGACTGCAATTTGAAAATTTTCAAAACCCATTTTAATGTGTCATGTGGTGGGTTATTTGAAATTAGATATAATCTCCTTAGTTTTAATATTTATTGGATGTGGGGTTCACAAGAAATATGAGGAAAATTGTGCATTTCGATATGTGATCATAGTGAGGCGTGCCCATTGGTAGAGAAATTGAACAACATGGGCACAAAGAAAAATGAACTTAACTTCTGATTTTGAGACTTCGAATGGTCATAGTTGCCATTAGCTGGGATAAAATTACATACTAATTCCTTTGAGGCCATATACTACGCTCCCTCAGTAGCATATTGTTCACTTACTCCCTAGGGTGAAATACCTACTTGGAAAATTTTTTCAATCAGAGAGTTTTGGACCCACATAAGCACCAAATGTTGTCAAAAAAATAAAATTTGAATTTTGAGTTACTTACACTTCTGTCTGGCCATCCAAAAATCGGGGTCTCTCATTAATATTAAGATGTTATTCTGTGAAGACACACACAGTGTTTTGAGTTTCTTTTTATTTTTGAGGTTGGTCACCAGTTTGAAGAGGTTACATCCCCATAATTGGGGGCCTAGAAATACTCCTAGAGTGAGGGAGTGAGGGAGGAAATGCTTCTATGGAAGCATAGAATCTTATAACAATGCCTTTTAGTGCAATATATGGTTAATGATGTTCCCCAAGAACAACATCTTCTCTGTATTCCACTTCACATATTTACTTCAAAAAATATTGACTTTCTCCACAGGACTTTTCTATATATCCTTCCATTTGGACTTGATCCCAACCAACCTGACGATGTCACTAGCATCAAGAGCCTGGTTTTCCCTCCATCCCACGTAAGTTCAGGCCTTTAATTGGTCATCACATCCAGAAAGTCCCTCAACCAAATTCAGTGAAAAAGGAATCCACTTCCCGACAGGTGCACCATGTGCAAGGACAGCAAGATCATCTATTAATTCTTTGGGAAGTAACAAGCAAAATCTGGGACTTTGTTCTAAAACTTTTTGGCTGGGTCTGGGTGACACCCAAGACCGCCCAACACCTTTTCTCGTTCTCTCAGCCCTTTTCTCCTCTTCAGGCCTCCTACTCTGGTGGGCTCCTCTCCTAGCTTTAGTCTGGACGATCTAGCTAGAGCATAACAAGTGCATATTCAAAAGTCACAGATCCCGCACCAATGAGATTAAAGCTGTGTTATAGCCCATGTTGACTTTGGGTACACAAATGCAAAGAGTTAGTGCATACTCAATAACGGACTTCAAACAGCAATGGCAAGTTGGCAACAGCTCCTATGGTCCAAACTGAAGCCCATCTCTAGAGCCACCAATTGATCCCACCTACCCTAGGCATAATCAAACTCAACTTTGATGGTTGCTCTCTTGGCAATGCTAGTCTGGCTGGGAGTGGGGGTATCAACCTGCTTGCCCAAGTAATTTTACATAGGTACAATCGATTTTGCCAACTCCACCATTGCTGAAGCCAATATCCCTCTCAAACTGTTTGAGTAGTTGGGAAACCCTTTGTTGGTCGAAGGGGACCCTAAGAACATGATATACTGGGCAAAGAAACTGCCCCCTATCCTTGGAGACTGAACCCCATTTTTGAGAAGATTTTCAAATGCCACCCCATTCAAGCATCTTTTGGACACTCCGGGAGAGAGACAAACAAGCTACAAACACCCTCAAGAAAGACAGCTTCAAGTACAAACCTCACAATCCACAGGCCTCAAGCCTAATGAGGATAATTTCACCTTTAGCCCCATTTTGCAAAAACCACCTATATCCAACACAGTTTTCTACATCAAATATCAATCACAATTTGCACATCCTTTTAATATAAAAGTCAGTTTCTACTCCCCAAAAAAAAAACTGATATACATTGCCTCTCTAGCACATAATAATTGGCTATCATATTGGAATTATAATTCCATAGAGACATAAATCACTAGCAAAAAATTAAATCACCATCATCATCATTATCCGAGCCTTATCACTAGCAAAAAAATTAAATACCATTGTAAATTTGGATCTTATTTTCTGTTTCACTTTCAGCAAGAAATAAGTTGTAAGAACATAATGCTAACAGCCTAAAACCATACCTTTTAGAAGAAGTGATCCATATGCAATTGCAGCACCTGCATGTCCCTGCAGATTTTCAAAATTCACAATCAAAGTTCCTTTGATTAAATGATAGCTTCCCTCATATCCGATTTTCTATTTGCCCAAACTTTAATAGATGCTTTTTTGCAAACCAATTTGTAGCTAAAGACATGGGTACAATATAATTTAAAGGACCTTGGGAAACCATAATCCATTGGGAACATCACCATACAATGAAATAATGGATGGTGATTGCGAGAGGCTAGACTTACATTTGGATCATGCCCAGCTCTCGCAGATCCTGCTCCCGCTCCATCACCATAAATTACATTGGACATAGGTGACCTGACGGATTATGAGTATACCTAGTCTATCAAACTTCTAGGCACACTAGGCACATGTAAACCAACAATTAAAGCCAGAAATCAGTCACTATGCTCAAGGCATGTATCCAAATGAGGCTAACAATTTGGATATCTTATCAAGAGCATTGAACATGGAAGAGAGAATACAAAAGTACACTATGCTTCTCCAAGTGAAGAGTTCACTCAATCAACATGTTGGTTAAGAAGGTAGTCCCCAATTTGGCTGGCTTCCCTATGTCTATTGCTAACAAATATCCATTTAACTCTTCACATACATTGTTGATTTCATGAAAATGACAAGGTTGATAAATCAGGATAAGTGCCTCCTAATTCACTATAGAATAATATTTCCACATTTGTTGAATGCAAAATATCTCGACACCGCAATACTAATATGTGATTTGTCGAGGATACTAATGGCTTTTCATCTGAGTACACAGCATGCAGATGAGTTGCACAAGTCACCCTGAGTTTGATTTGAATCCAACTCTTAAACAATCAAGTGGGGTTGATTTGGACAATAATTAAATCCTATGAATTCTCAAGCACTTCTTAAAGGTGCCCAGTTTGGCCACATATCCCTTTAATAATCCACCCAAAGCAATGGATGGCAAACAAAACTCCATTACTAGTTATCTACCCATGTTTTTAGATTGGGAGACTGCTAAAAAGGTGGGTGGCCAAACTAGCCACTCTATTAAACCCACATCACATCCAAGAGGACATGCAAATATTCCCTATAAGAGCTGACTGTTATTCAGCTTCAAACAGCTCAGCTGGGCTCGATTGATGTTTCCACATTCTCTCTCCTGGATGATATTGACTCACAAACTCTGTGAAAAGGACATTGACATATGTCAGTTTTTGACACGTTGTACATAACAAACACTAAGTTCCATTTGTCTTTAAGCTGTTTTTGGTTGATTTACATTTGCATCTCCTTATCTGTATGAACTAAGTGCAATTGTGGCCCAGTTTCAATGGTCCCATCTTTCTTGTTATGGATGGGTTATTTATATTTATAAACATGAGTATTTCTAGTTTCTTAAATGGGTGGGGGAAGTTTTATGGTATTTCCTTAATAAGTAGGAGAAAGGAAGGGGCCTTACTCATGAATATTAGAGTGGACAACACATTTCGTATTATAGGTAGGGAAAGGCACTGAATTGTTCCAAATAAATGGTCCAAATGAACTGGGCCTTGATGTATACTCCTATCATTTTCAGCTATTAAAAGAAAAAAAACGAAACACACATGCTTAGCCAACACGTTAAGCTGGTCAAGAAACCACTTCTCTTGGCCAAATGAAGCATTTTGAACAATCACCTTCTCTGATGCCCTATGGAAACACCATAATGCAGATGCAAGATCTCTTTTCACGCAGTCCCCAGTCAAATACACTGCACCGAGTAGGTATAAAGCCCCTGGATGCAACTAGAGCACAAAAGGTCCTTCTTAGTAATGAATGAATAGTAACATTCTTTTTCTTGTATAAAATGCAGGTTTAGGGCCCCATTCCTGTATAATGAAAAAGTAAAATATTACAACATCAAATATTCAAAACAAATCAATATTATCAAGACATACATGGTCTCGATGTCCTCAAAGCTAAGTAAGTTCATGTATTGGGTTCTCAAAAAGTTATTCTCTGCGAGTTAAAGAATGAAACATACCTGGTCAACAGCTTTCTCCAAATAATAGAAAGCTTGTTGATCAGCATGCACAGCTTCATCCTATCCAGATAAAAAAGTACAATTAGCTTCACCAGAAATGCTTTCATAAATTCAAAGAAAACAATCACAAAAATAAAAGTACAAATAACTATCAAGTTGAAGGCACTATTGGATTTGGTTATCAAAAAAAAAAAAAGGAAAAAGAGGAAAAAGAAAAAAAAATTATAGGTAGGTTTATGCTACAATCCAATGGACTACAGTATACTCATAATCAATTAGTGCTATCATCATAAAATGAAATAAGGGATGATGGTGAGAGAGTGGAGCCCAGCAGGTCATATCGTCACTGACGTAACCTAAGATCACCCACTCATTCGTCTTCCATTAAATGACCCTAAAACACGCTTAGAGAACACGTTAAATTAAAGAAAGGCTTAACATGTACAATTTCACCAGCTATTCATCTACAAATCAAAATAAGCAAACTTGTGTAAATCATCATGCAATTTTAGGGATTTGTTTTAATGCCCAAAAGATGGGATTTTGAATATGTCATGGATTGAAATATGTCTTTTAAGCAAATTTCCCTAAATAAAATTGATTTCCAATCAAATTTAAAACTAGCCTACAATCCGAAGAGAAAAGAGGGTGTAGAATAAGTTTGAATTGATTCAGGAGGATCTCCACAACTAGTTCTAGGGTTTTGAAGTTAATGGTGTAAAGAATTTAGGCTTTTGCCTTTTGATGCAAAATTACGGCTAAGGTTTTGAGGCATTTTATCTAGGGTTAATTTTAGGAAGGACCTGTGGGTTGCTTTTAAGGTTTTGGTGGATTCTTTGAATGGGATGGGTTTGTGCTTGGAGGGTAATAATAAAAGGAAACAAATTTATAGAAAGATGAAAAATAGAAAAAATAACAGAGACAGAGAAAAAGAAAGAAAGAATATTAAAGAATTCAAAGAGTATTATATTGCCGCCTTGGGAGGTGCTACCAAGCCTTCTTTATGGCCTTCAATAAATGAGTTTAAGAAGCCCTTTATCTACTCTTTTTTATTTTATTTCTTGTCCTTTACAATGCTCTCTAAAAAAAAAATTGTAGAGGATGGTTGTCCCTCTCTCCCCTTTTTGGACAATTTGTTTTAAACACAAAGATAAAAAATACCCTTAATTAAAATAAAGCACACATGGACTAAACTAGCCTCGAATTCTCAACTCCCCAAGACATAAATTCCCATAGGTAACTAAAATAAATTAAAAGACCATCATCATCATCGTCATCATTGCCATCGCCTTTTTCCCACTAAATAAATTAAAAGACCAATAACCTTAATTTTTACTCTCCAAAAACTCAACCCGGTCGAGCACACCTCCATCAGTGCTGATAAAGATCCTTCCTCATCCTCCATACCAGGAACAGTCAACCAATGGGTGATCTTTCCAACAAATCAAGTGTCTCTTTTATGAACCACGACGTGTATCGGCAGTCCAAACATCCACCACATCCTCTATCTTGTCCTGAGTTGCTCTCAGTAGCTCTGCAGTCCCCAGCAAACCAATACCAAATGTACAGGGAGCCAAACTTGTAAAAAATCAGCAATATCAAAGATTGGCTAGATAGGAAGATACCCAGGAAAGTCTAAGAGATAAGCATGTCATCTAACTTCTTGAGATCCGGAATAGCCCAAACCTTCATTAACATTTTGTAGGTATCGATTGGACATCTCTCATGCCTTAGATGTTGTGATGTACAATGATAGAGTCCCTCACAAAAAACATCTACCGTATCAATGCTTATCTGCAACATACTCAGCATAATTGGCTGTCAACCTGTCAAGGACTTCCTTCTGTATTTCCTTGATTGTTGGTCATAATCACAGGCTTTGGCATTCCTCCTCCCCACACAAGGTAATGAACACAATCTAATATGTATGAGAAATGGAGTGACCATAAACTATCATGAAGGGAAACTTCTCGGTCAATTGGTTAACCGAGCTATTATAAGAAAATTCTACTTGAGGAAGACTCAGATCCTACTAATTCGGCCTCTCACCTGCAAGATATTTCAAGAAATTTCACAAGCTACAATTTGACTACCTCAGTCTGGCCATCAGATTGAGGATGATATGATCATTCAACTATACAACGTTCTCCAAAATTCACTCAGGAATCTAGTATCTCGATCATAGGTGATCGACTTAGGTACACCATGAAGACACACTTCTCTAAAGAATATATTTGCAGCATGAGATGCATTCAAGGTCTTTTGATAGGGAATGAAATGGATCATTTTTGAAAAATGGTCTACCATTACAAACAGAAAAACATACCTCCTGGAAGTTCTAGGCAAACCTAACACAAAGTCCATGCTGACATCTTCCTAAGGAGCATCTAGGATGGGAAGTGGAGCGTAGAGGCTAATATTCCATGACTGACTTTTAAAAATCTAACAAACTTGACCATGGTCCACATACCGCTTCATGTCATGCCCCAATCTAGGCCAAAAATACATCCTCTCTACCAACACAATAGTCTTAGCCAGATCAATAAGTCCAACAATACCCCCACTAGGTAGCTCAATAATGATGTCTCGTGAAGAGAATTCAAATGTGATGCACTTGGCATGTTGACTATTTATTGTATGCTAAGAGTTAATATATCTCAATCCCTCTCCCTGTGAACAAAACGATGCCTCCAGCATCGAAGAGTTTGAATGATTGCATAAAATTCAACATCATGTGCAGAGTGATAGGAATGAATGTCGTTCAATTCTTCATTAAAGAATGCCACAGATGCCCCTCCTGGCTTAAACAACTCTTATCCCAACATGGGAGGCATCACAATCCACCTAAAAGACCTTCTCAAAATCAGGAAAGCACAAACACCGATGCACTCAACGTTTCGGCCTTTAAGAGCTGGAAAATCACTTTGCCCTGTGGAGGCCATTTAAATGTCCCTTTCTCCATGCAATTAGTGACCAGGGCAATCGTGTTGCTAAAATTTCAGATAAATCTCCCATAGCATGAAGTGAGACTGTGACAACTGCATACATCACCCATGGAACTCATGGTTGGCTAGCTATTAATGTCTTCCACCTTAGTTAAATAAATTTTAGTCCCTTCTGCCAAAACAATGTAGCCCAGAAAAATCAAACTTTTGGTTAAAAAGGAATATTTCTTAATATTGACATAGAGCTTGTCCCTTCGCATTCCATGTATGAATATCATCAAAGTATCCAACCACAAATTCCTCGACAAATGGTCATAAAACTTGGTCCTTTGTGGGCATAAGTGTGCTGGGTGCAATGGACAAACCAAAGGGCATGACTAACCACCCAAAAGACCCTCATGAGTCTTGAAGGTTGTTATCCATTCATCACCAAGTCAAATAGAAATCTGATGGCGTCCACTTCTAAGGTCAATTTTGGAGAAAATTTGAGTGCCACTTAACATATCCAGCATGTCATCAAGCCTAGGTCTAGGAACCGATACTTGATGGTGATGTTATTGATTGCGCAACTATCAAAACACAGTCTCTAGGTACCATCATTTTTTGGTGTTAAGAGTATAGGGACCATGCACAGACTCAAGCTTTATCATATAAGTCCTTTTATTAGCAATTCTTTGACATGTCTATGCAACTCTATATGCTCCACTAGACTCATCAAGTAGTGGGCCATATGTAGGAGGCCAGCTCCAGGTGTACAAAGTTTAAATCTCCCTTAAGAGGAAGGCCATAAGGAAGCTCTTCTGGAGTGAGCTCACTGAATTCCTCCTAGAGGGGCTGAAGCTCTCATGCATTTGGTGGACTCTCCATCTCTTCCTCAGCTACAAGAGGTTACATTGTCCATTTCTCCTTACTCTCCACCTCAGATGACACTCTGTTCAGCTCTATTCAATCTATCCTCGAGATGCATACGTCTTCATGATACTGCCTTAGATCCTCATAGGAATCACGATCATTCTCTCCATGTTCTTCGTGTAGTGTTTGATTCCTCTCAGAACCATGCAAAGTAGCATCTTCGTGAGGCTTCGGTGGAGGATTAGGGGGAAGCATAGTCCAAATACCTACAGCTTCCGCAATTTGCGTCACTTGCTCCTTCATCTGCTCGAGGGAGTCATAATGATCACGTCGTTGTAGGATGAACTCTTTCCGATCACCTTTGGCTGCACCATGTCTTCAGGCTTGGCCACGACATGGCCTTGACAACGACCCTGGTCACATTCCCTTGATCTGCCATGGAATGTAAATTCACCTAAAGATAGAACTTTCATAGACTTAAGGAGGGACTCTTCCTATGCTCTAGATGACCACATGAACAATGTTCCTAACCTGGGAACCCTAGGTAGCAATCCATAAAAACTCACAAACTCTCTATTGATCCTAAGACATCACCTAAAATCCTAAGGAAGGCTATACCACAAAGTAGGACAGACTCTAAGGGACAATACCTTAAAGACCTAATGGACACCTTAAAACTGTAGGACAGACCCTAAACAATTTAAAAAGACCTCTAGCCGTAGGACAACTTGCTCTGATACCAAACTGATCTAACCTAAGATCAACCACTCATTAATCTTCAATTAAAAGGCCATAGAACACGGTTGGAGAAAAATTTATCTTCAAATAAGGCTAAATATCAACAGTTTCAGCAGGTTTTCATCCAGAAAACTAAATAAGCAAGCTTGTGTAAATCAGCATGCAATTTTAGGAATTTGTTTTAATGCACAAAAGATGAGATTTTGAATCGGTAATAGATTGAAATCAGTCATTTAAGAAAAATCAGCTAAAGAAAATTGTTTCCCAATAAAATTTAAAGCTCTCCTGCAAGAGAAAAGTGGGTTTAGAATAACTTTAAATTAATACCCAAGAGTCTCCATAACTAGTTCTAAGGTCTTGAAGTTAATGGTGTGCAAAGAAATTAGGTTTTGACTTTAGATGCGAAATAGGGTTAAGGCTTCAAGGGATTTTACTTAGCATTAATTCTAGGAAGAACATAAGGGTTACTTCTTAGGTTATAATGGATTCTTCAAATAGTGTAGGTCTGCTGTTTGGAGGGTTATA